CGACAACAAGCGTGCAGTCCCAGCGGCTCCTGGGGAACAAACAAAATTGCACGTGGCAAAGATGCAGAATTTCCGAGAACATCCAAGAATTGCGTCCATGTTTATAGTTTTGACACATTATTACCCATAGGATCCATGTATGGTATATATGCTAACATTTGGGGTATATTGATGGTAAATGTTACCATATATAGCATACATGGATCCTATGGGTTAGATATGAAATATAAATTGATGTAATCTCAAGCCCCATGAATTTGCCATTAGGGTGTGATGGCTAATTGGGGAAGTACCTAAAGTGAGTAGCAGATGATCACAGTTTGGGGGCACAGTTTGGGTGATTTTTCATCCGGGGTTGACAGGAAACAACCAGATTGGTTCCCCCAGTGAGACTAGATTTTCATAGTATGATTAGTTAAGTAACCATTGAATAGTTGTCTAGTTCACAACACTTTTCTATGACAAATACTACCTGAAAGCAGATTTTCGTCCCTTTATACTGGTTGGTTGAGAACGGATTTCCAATTCATAGATTGTGATACTCCCCAAGAATAGATGATAGTTGGTATAGCCCCACTATTCATCAAGCAACAACCATTTATCAAGTTTCCCAGTTTGATCAACTAACATACCCTATATATATATAGATTCCCCATTTCTAGTGGATTTCCCATTAGTCGGACATAACATGGACTCCGGAAATCAAGGTGATCTAAATATAATATATATATATATATTATATTACATATATCTACCCTCTGGTTATCACTAAAAAAACATAGTTTTTTGATGGCTATGTAAAAATAGATGATAAAAATGAGGATTTACCTATTAACAATGGTGATTTCCATGGCGATGTTAGTCCTAACCAGATGGTAAATCATCTCACTAACACCCGCAGCCCAGGACATCCTGTCGCGCCGCAGTCGAAGGGTCAGCCGAAGGGTCAGCTTTAGCCGCAGCTTGGCCCTGGATGATGGGATTCTGCGATCGCAGATTGCTTAGAATTCAATAGATTTAAACGGGATTTCAATGGATTTTTTCATGGTTTCAATGGATTTCCATTGTACTGAATTGAAATAAGGGATTTGAATATAGAGAAAAAGGTGGGCTAAAAGCAGATTTTTACTTGGAGTTCATGGATCAAACTGGGACTATATGGATTACATTGGGATTACCATAGGATTGTAATCCATGTCAACGGGATTTATCGAATTGGTCCCTCTTAAAAAAAAGGAAACCAAAATGACTAGATGTATATTTCATCATATTTCATCATCAGGATTTGTTTTCCTTTTTTTGTTGTTCTGGGGGAGTGTTGATTAATGCGGGGAAGGGATAATTGAGTCTATCATGTCCTTCAACCATCCAAAGGTAAAGTGGTGCATGGAGCCGCTAGGTTTTTGAGACAGAAAGCCAAAAAACATGGGGGTAGTTGGTTACAAGGTGACGCCCCCCAATTACAAGTTGCTTTATAAACCCCACCAGGAGACTACAGTTCCCCCACAAGCCACAGCTGTCCGCAAGTGAGTTCTGTGCGTCAACTTAGGTCAACTTAGCTGTCCGACTGGCGCCTCCGGCAGCTCATCAAGCAGGTTATCCACCCATTCTTTTCCATAGGGATATGCCTCAGTTGATCTTATGATCTCAGCTGTCCGGCTGTGACGATCCATGTGATCCATGTGATCCCTCCAAATATTGATGGTGGAGATGGTGGATCTATTCCCCCAACGGCGGTCCGAACAACCGAACAAAAAGGGGGGCATATCTCATATCGATGGATGAGATTACTTCGTCATCAACCTGAAAAGTTCATCCACTTCGGGATAGTTAAAGTTATTTGCAGTGACGTTCTGTTGGGATTGTTGTAATTGACCAATGGCATCAATATATTTTACCTTTTGGTTATTTAACGTAGCCATTGAAAATCAATATTTTTAATAGGTAAATACTAATAAATCATCTATAAATAGGCCATTTCCAATAGCTATGTTAAATAACCAGAGGGTATATATTGATATGATTCACGTCTTCCCCGACTTCACCAAAGACTGGAGAACCCCCAAGTTTTCTTTCACATGACCCACTCCACGTCAGAGACAACACCATAGCGATTCAATATATGCGATCTATGTGGACAACACCATAGATGTGCAAAAACCACCATTTGTAGATCATATTCTGAACGGAAAACCATCGGTTTTCCATGGTGTTCCACATCTATGTTAGTTTAGCCTAGGATATTTCATGAATCTTCCCAAGATCCACCTTTGTTCAAAAATGTTCAAAACGGGTATGACTAGATAAACCCCCATCAACATGGAGAACGCTCGGCCGGTCCAATGTTTGGGGCATCGGGGCGTAAGTCGCATGCAGAATGCACAGCACTGGCCTTGGAATGGAACGACCCATCGAGACTTTCGCCATCAACGAAGCCTACATGGCTATGGCACAATGGAAATAGGAAGCCATGTAGAATGTATTTGGATGTCTTTGGAATCTAATGAATATCAATATATCCACTGGAATCAAAATATGGAGGTTTCCTAAATTGTGGGTACCCCCAATTCTCATCTATTGTAGTAGGATTTTCCCCTACAAAAACCATCCAGGTATTGGAGTACCCCCATTTATGGAAACCCCCCATTATCCACTGGACTCGGAAAGCCTTCATGACACTGGGAAGGACATCTGACGACTGAGCTCGTTGCATTTCGAGAGCACAGGTGAGGCTATGCCAGAGATAGATCTCAGTCAAAGGCTTGGCGAAAACGGTAGTGTACAGTACGTGGGGGCCCCATCTAAGTAGCTAAGTTACACTAAGTGAAATAAAGCAAACTTCATGGCGGGTTTTCACTAAGTTGCTTTATTTTCACTAAGTTAACCATTGGGCTTCTGACATATCGAGCTTCGGACAATTGATATCAATGGGGGCCCACATCCCATCATTCATCCCAGTAATTTCTCATGAAACCATGGATGGAGCGCCAATAAAACCGTATTATAGAACCCCCCAAAAAGATAGAAAAGTAAATCCTACATAATCCTACTACAATAATAAATAATTAATAAATCATTCGTTACTAGTATTGTAGCAACCCCCAATATACTGTACATACTACATACATCTACATACTACTATTATTTATCAGAAAAAAAGAGATCTGATGATCCTGGTCTTCGTGACCCTATGATGATCTAATGGGGTTTCATAGGTCATGGGGAATTTAACCAACAAACATGGGGATATGAATGGGGTTTGCTATGGAAGCCATGGCCCTTATATAGTTCGATGATTCACCGATCATTTCAATGCTAAAATCTTCCATAGCTATGTCTGATTACCCGAGAGATATCTGTATATATAAAGTACCAGTAGGATTATCATAATTCAGCAATCTGAAGAGTACTTTTTTTTTGGGCTGATTCTTACCAATCCAACCACCATTTCCAGTGATGTTGGACAGCTTAAGTTGTCAAGATGTATGGACTATGTTTGAACATTTACCCTAACAAATCAGCCTCTGATTTTCTAGGACAATGTGCCATCCATGGCATCCACATGGCATCCATGGCCTCCTCATCTCCCAAGCGAAATCCGTACCTGGTGAACTCGGATTGGATTGGTCAGACCTGGTTGGTGAGGAAAAACCTACCCGAAATATTCATGGTGATTGTATGGTGCAAAATATGGTGCAAAATCCCATTGATTACCATACTTAGTTACTTTCAAAGCTGGTTTGTGGTATACCGACCTCTCTGAAAAATGATGGAGTTCATCAGTTGGGATGATGAAATTCCCAACTGAATGGAAAGTCATAAAATTCATGTTCCAAACCACCAACCAGTCATCATATGTTATGGAATAATTTTGAAAAAATCATGGCTTTAAAGCTGGTGATTTTCCTACAGAAATGCATTTAAAAAAAACATTTGGGGGCGGATTGGCGCTATAGATATACAACTTAACTTCCCGGAGGTCAAACGGCATCACTGAGAGGAATTCAACTTTACACTCCACACTTTACACTCTACACTTTACACTCTACACTTTACACTCCATACTTTGCACTCCAGACTCTACACTCCACACTCCACACTTGGCACGCCACCTTCTTCCATATTCCACAGTCTACGGTGCACTGGTATGGTAACAGGGGAAAAATGCACAAGACTGTTGAACTAAACTGTTTCACAAAAGTGTTCTGCGTGACTGCATATGCATGTGTTTCGGCATCTGTACCATTAACATACGTGTGAGCATTCGGGTGCGTGGGCTGCATCTTGCTTTTCTCCGTGCTATGACAATCACGTAGTCTTTTAAAATGGACCTACCTTCCCACCTCTGGGGAACGGACTCGTGCTATGCTTATATAACTTAACTTCCCGGTTTCGATTTTCCCATATTTTCCCTTAAACCCGTTGAGTCCCAGCAAACAAGAATTATTGAGTCAGAACTTAAATCATCACAACTGGGAGTTTACTAAAAGCCTAGTTGGGGATGGTGCCTACGGCATATGAAATCTGATCCAGTAAAGATTGCTGGATGGACCCCCAAGTTATGGGCATGAAATTGCCATTTGTTCGTAGGGAAAATTGCTTCCCAATTTTCACACTAACCTTGACGAGTTCGGGCGAGTTTTATTCAAGGTATGGGGCCCGACTGCAAAATTAGTTTTCAAATCAAAATACTGTAACTGCTAGTTGCAGATGTTTGTCCTAGTAGTTTTGACAAAGTCCCGTTTCAAACTCACACTTTGAGGTTTGTCTGTTCTCGTTTTTTCGCTCACCCTCTGGGTGTTCACAAAGTCCCCTTGTGAGACTTGAGGCTTCATGTCTAAGCCATGGGGATCAACCAGAAAACGGAAACGGACGGAAGTTCATTGGATTGGGAATATTACATATATGACCTTTACCGGAACCTCGGTTTACCCCAAGTTTACCCCTATATTTGACACCATGGTTTCCAGAAGCTGCCCTACTGTGCCCTGCTGGGTCACTTAAAAAGAAGCCATTGAAAGTAGGTGACGCTCACCACAATCTTCACCTCAAGGTGGAAGAAAATCTAAGGCTTCGCGTATTTACCGACCAATAATATTCCAATACCAGGTCATTAAAGCATAATATAAAACGATATGAAACTCTATGAAAAAATAAGGTTGCTATTTAGCAATATCACTAACAATAAACATGCTAAGCCAATGTGTGGTTAAAATCATCCGATGATCTAGCTAATGATAGGTTTGTCATGGTAGTCATTAAAGGTTTATGTTCCTGAACCATCCATAAGGTCAGATTAGTTCCTATATTGGTTCAGTTCTATTGTCATCTATCAATTTTCCTGATGTTCCTATATTGATTCCATTATGATTGACCTATATTAGTCAATGATGGAATCAATATAGGAACAATGTTGGTAAATGGAATCAATATAGGAACATCAGGAAAATTAGTCCATCTATATTTCCATATTATATTGGTCAATCATGATGATGTTCCGGATTCCAATCTTGGTTGCTTGGCTCTACTACTAAGCAGTCAGCACTCATCCCTTTAGGAATGAGGTCACGTCAGGTCACGTGAGCAGCTGGGGCAAAACAATGTCATTTCTACCACCAAAATGACTGGGAATGGGATTTCCATACCACCTATATATTCTAGTTGGTGGCTTCAACATCTCTGGAAAATATGAAACTCAGTTGGGATGATTCTTCCCAATATATGGAAAGTCATAAAATTCATGTTCCAAACCACCAAGCAGTATTTATGGTGATGACTGGGCAAAGGTATGACCAATAGGCACATAGCCAGCCACAAAAGCAGGCAGACGCGATGGGTACGTTGGTCTGCGCGCAAAAAGACTTTACATCATATAACTGATTGGTGGTTTTAACCATCTTGAAAAATATAGTCAATGGGAAGGATTATCTCATATATTAAGGAAAATAAAAAAATGTTTGAAACCACCAACCAGGTATGCATGTCATGATTAACGTGTCCATATATATATATACACATATATTAAACATCATCATATCAATAAGATTGTGTCATTAATGTGAGTACATCCACCATCATAAAGGCAACATATGGTGGACTGGGCAACAGGACTGGCGACTGGTTCCATGGACGTTCCATCCCGCGGCTGGAATCATGGACCGTGGACCAGCCGGATGTTTTCCAGCGGAAAACATACGCGGATCAGTGATCACCGGACTGGGAACTTGACACGTCAAAAAACATATCCATAATCCCAAAAAAACTCACCTCTCCTATAGGTTTTCCATTTTTGAAACTTCCGCCACCGCCTTGTGCGGTACTACTGGAAGTTATATAAGTGGAAGCTAACACTGAAGCTACACATCCAAATTCCTGATGTGTGCCACTCAAAAGAATGGGAGTGCGGGCACTGGATCGACGATTGGGTTTAAGGTATAAGGTGAGCCCCCCCCCGTTCCGAGTTGATAAACCCCATCTCATCGGCTAAACCGCCCTGTTTTCACTTGGTACAAAATGCCTTCAGTATGTAACATGGGGTATGAATCTGGTCAGACTCCCCCCTATCGTCTCGCGATAGTATGAGTCCCTCATCGACTCACGTGTGAAAAACAGCCAAAAATCTTGGAACATTGAATAGGCTCAAGGCATTCATGTCTTCTTCAAATCTTTATATTTCTTGGACATGGTCGCTTTAGACCAGCCTCGTCCTTTGTTTTCATGTTGAAAACGGTTCCAAGGGTTTTCAGGGACATGTTCAGTTTGAACGTCCTCACCGCCTCTCAGAAATGCTGAGCCCGATGTTGAAGAGCTCGATGCGGCAGCAGCTCCAGGTTCGCCCAAGCTGCACTCACCCCCAGGTGAACCACCATCGCTATGCCCTCCATCACCTGCAGTGATTACGCCCCCTGAGCATTGATTCGCCCTCAAAGAGTTTCTCCCACGCTGCTGTGAGCCCGACTGTTGAGGCATACTCGTTGATGTAGCATCTACGCCATCGCTTGATGTGCCCCCAGCGCTCAAGCCCGATCGTGATGTCAATTTCTGAGATGTAGCTCGCGCTGCACTGCTCGAGCCCGACCTTGTTGTTAAACTCCGTGATGTAGTGCGCGCCGCACTGCTCGAGCCCGACTGTGTTGTTAAACCCAAGGATGTAGTGCTCGCCGCACTGCAAGAGCCCGACCGTTTTGTCAATCTCATTGGTGTAGTTCCCTGCGAAACCTCGTCCCCAGGAATCACTATGAAACTGCCCTCCTCTGACGATTCTTGTTCTTCCCATTGTTGATTGGCGGGACGTCGCTCACCCTCTTCCAAGGCTTTGATCCTGCGAAGGCAGCAGCTTGAAACCTGTTGAACCAGCTGTCCAACATAGATCGCCCCAAAGGCCATCAGCGCTGCCCCTGTCACCATGAAGGGCGTGAAGTCAATATCGCCCTTGTCCTCATTTGATGCTTGAGCTGCTGACATCAAAGTGCTTCCAATGACCAGCGCCTTCACGGCTGCAAAACCACCTCCACCACCGATCATCACTCCGTCGCCAGTCGATGTCGTCTCTCCAGCTTCGGCTTTGACACCTCGCTTCAGGCCCAAATCCTCCAAAAATCTGAAGAAGGCCTGTCCATTCAAAGGCTTCGTGCATCCATCGGCCACTAATTCTGTGCCCTTCAAATGAATCAGCTGCCACTGTCCACCTGGAACATCAGAACTTTCTTGTAGGGCCTCTTTGAGAATGCTCGACCTAATTCGAAGATGTCGAGTGCGCCATGAAGCTGCCGTGACTCCATGCGCCAAGCCAATAGCTGCGGCGTTGTCGCCGTACATCACTCGCTCAAATGTGTTGGCATTGAGATCCTCCCCCCAAATGGCACATAGAAGAGCTTCTGAGGCACGCCCTGCTAAAAGAGCTTCGCAATAAGACACCAGTTCTGCTTCAGCTGTTGAGTGCGTCACAAATGGCTGTTGATTGCACTGCCATGCCACAGGAACTCCAGCATAGCAAATCACTAGGCCCTGCACACTGCGGTGGTTTGACCCCGCTGCATATGCGATGTCCGCATACACTTCCAACAACTTGGAATGGCGTCTCACTTTGAGTTGCCCTCGAGCTCCCCATTCACCATTTGCTACTCCATTTGGGCGGTGAATTCCACCAGGATTTCCATGAAGATATTTCAAGAGAATATGGCCAATCTCCAAAGATTTTTTGGGTTTTTTGGTCACCAAGCGTGACATCGCTGATACACCATGCACCAAGTCAGGTCTTGTCCTCGTAGACAACCACAAAAGAGCTCCTGTGAGTGCTTGTGCGCTCTTGATGTCAGCCTGGTTGATCTCGGAGGTCACCAACTCGTCCTCCTCGTTGATCTTGAACGCAGGGTAGGCCAGAGATTCTGAAACTGCCCATCGACTCAGAAGTTCTTGCTCAAACATCTTTTGGGAAACTTGAAATCCATCACCACGTTCATCAGCTAGAACTTCAAAACCACAATACCGCAGCGGCTTGTCGGTTGAGGCCCATTCGACTGCAGAGATAGTCCATGTTTTGGCCACCGCATCCATCGCTGCCTGAATTGTTTCTGGCTCCGCTGACACCAACAAGTCGTCAACATAGACCGACATCAGCCCAGCCCATGTTTCTTGGCCCGTTTTGGTGTTCACCTCCATCAGCCTCCACATGTTGTCATCTCCAGAGTGCACAAAACGACCAAAATAGTCCTCGCCATCAGCACTTCGTGTCCATCTCAAAGTTGGCAGGACCTCGTCCCGGTAAATGCACCAGTCTCTGGGTGATGCAACAAGGCCGTAGAGAGCCTTTTCTATCAGCCACACATCGCTGGCTGCTGCCAGGCCAAGTTTTTTGAACACGTAGGGCACCTCCATGGCGGTCAACTTGTTGATGTTGCGCTTCGGAGCGTTCAAGAACGCAACTCGCACGTCTGTGCCAGCCAAAGCCCATCGTTGGAGCGCAGCTGTTCGGAGCATCATCCGAATTTGGTTTCCGTCAGCACCTCCAGCGTAGCGCTCTTCTGCACTGGCCTCTTGATAGTTGCCACATACAACTGCTCGTGAGCGATAAGCTCCACTTCCAGCCTTCCGTGTGTGCACCATTTTTCCTGGTAGAAGTTCTATCGGAAGCTGCTTGCGCTCTGCAATCTCGTAGAGCTCGCTTTTGGACATTTGTTTCACCGCCTCCTTTTGCACCACCAGTTGCTGATACTCAGCTCGTATCGAGGCTTCCCAGGCACTCAAGTTCTCCCACACCTCCTTGTTCCCAACCGTTCTTGTGACCAGGAATTCTTCTTCAAGTTGCCCATCTTTGGTGTCAACCTCAGCCATTGAGAGAAGTCTCTCTTCCAAAGCCACTCTGTTGATGATCGCCTCCGTCACCACCGGCATCCACAGCGCCTGCTCCGTAGACGACGCATCAATGTGCTGCAGCTCCTCTCTGATATAGTCCGTGACATTGAGATGAAGTCGACGTAGAGCAAGAGCTTGAGTTGTTTGTTGTGGGGTCCTCGGGTATGCGCCACCAGCCCGAGAGTTAGGCACCCCCTCCTCATCCCCACCTCCAGACCACTGTTCCTCCTCCTCATAGTCAACCCTTCTTGGTGTGCTCTCGTCCGTTGACATGGTTGTTTCCAAAGACCAACTGTCACTCGAGGCACCATGATGTGAGGGTGTCGGCGGTTCAAACATTGTTGGACACCTTTCCAAGATCGTCCTCTCCCCCTCAATGTCAAACATTGATATGGCAGGCTGAGCAGCTTTTCGACGTTGTCGTCGTGCAGGAACTTCGGCTGCTCTTTCAGGTAGATACAACACCTGATCCTCAACTGCAGGTTGGTTGGCCTCAGGGATGATGATATCATCAGTGAAGAAATGGCGGCCCGTTGCCACAGATCGCACATAGTATCCAGTGTTGGTCAATGATGAGTTGGCATCAGGACCCAAAACTTGAACTTCTTCGCGATCTTCTCGCCAAGGAGCATAACGTGACTGCCAAGACTTACGTAAGGCATAGGCCTTTGCCCCAAACTTCACCAAGCGCCC